GCCAAAGGTAATTGAAATTGTTCAGCATGTTCAAAGTTACTGGAAGACAGCATATACATGCACATATAGACATACAAGATTGCATAGCCTAGCTTCTGTTCTGTAAGCAGCAGCAAGATGACCAGAGAAGTGTCAACATGTGGGAGGATGCTGGTAGTTGTATCTCTCCCCCTTCTCTGAGAAATAAGCAGCCATTCCTCTGTGAAAATTGCACTGTTGGGACTTTGCAAACCTAAGGCTGAGTTGGAATTTGGAGGAAATAGCAATTCTTTTTGTTGCTCAAAAAAGTGCTTCTTTTTCCCAAAACTCATCAAGATTACCTCTGAAAATACATTGCTGATTCATGCATTAGTAACAACGTTATTCTAGTTGCACTTGTTTTGTGACTCATGAGTTCACTGATAATTTTTGCAGTGCTTTGAGCACAAGTGGAAAATTATTGCAGAGCACCATACTGCAGAGCAGCTCTGAATTGCAGTGAGCTGGGCATAGGCCTATGGAAAGCCTCTTTGTCCTTTTCTTCCACTGTCCTGTAATCAGGTGTTTTGTCTCAATGAATGTTTTATAACTTCTCACTGCAAATTTTAACACAGACTTTTATTTTACATATGCTTACTGATCTTATTTATGGTTATTTCATGGGAAATCTAGCATTCTTTCAGTTAGAAAACTGTTCAATTGGTGTAGAGGTCAGGAACTGGAAGCAATAAATGGCATCAACTATGTTTCTCAAAGCCAGCCTGCAATTAGAAAGAGTTCAATAGCTGAAGGGGAAGGTATTTGCTTGAATGATTCAGGGTGAATTCCTTGCTCTCTTCTTCAGTTGTATCCGGGTTATAAATTAATGCCTCTTGAGTAAAACTCTTAGCCACTTGGCTTGTGATTGCTCTAGAGCTGTGTGTCTCTCTCCCTAATTCTCCTGTGAAATCATTCTTCATGGTTCAGTTTCACAAAACAGTGTTGAGAAGCTATAACTTTTCTTTGTCAAGTGATAATAATTGAAATAGTTTAAAAATAAGAAACATTTTTAATTACATTTAATTGCATTATATTAATTTATGTCAACGTATTGTGTCATAGGTACTTACCCATGAAATTATGTAAGTACAGATTAGGGAATTTCTATGCCATGTTTCTATTTCAAAGTTCTGCCTGTGACAGTAGCCAATACTGGCTACTTCAGGGAGAGAAAAAAGGAATGACTAATGGTCATTTATTGATTAGGCTGCCATAAGGAGTAACATAGGCTGATAACATTACAAATATGACTTTAGTGGATCTGAGAACTTCAGGTCTTTTCTAGGACAGTCTGATGCACCGCATGTGCATCAGGTGGTTGTAGCATCCTTCTCATTCACAATGCAAGTGAATCAGACCATGTGTTTGTCTTAGGGATGCAACAGTGTATGAAAGCTTAAATATAAAGAAGATTCAGTTTATCCTGTAGTTTAAGCACTGGATTGATATGAAGATATTGCAGAGCCACAAGAGAATTATGGCTTTATTCTTTCTTGCTTTAACTCAGATTCTGTTGCTGTTCAAAACACCCACAGTCCTTGTGCTCAGTTTTATAGGGCTGTCTTGGACAGTGATAGCAGCACTAACCTAGGTAACTGTATGTACAAGGTCAAGGTCTTCCACGCTAACACACTCCAGAAGTACTCTATTTGCCAAAAGTTCGGCAGACTTAGAAAACATAGCTGAGGCAGCTCAAGTGGTAGGTTTCTTGCGCAGCAGACCAGGATGGCAGGGCATGGTTAATAGCATCAAGGGCAGCTGCACTGAGCTGTGAGTCATAGAGAGAGGGTGGATAAGGGGATGAAGAGCAGAGGGATAAAAGGAACAGAGTAGGTAAACTCAGAGAAAAAAAAGAGGGACTGGTCACTGTTCTGAACTCGTTAGAAATGAAACATCTCTAAATGGCAAGGAACCATTTCTAGGTAGTAGATGGGACTATAGGATTGTTAAATGTGTCCAGAATCCTTAGCATAATCTTTTGCTTTGTAGTCCTTCTGCGTATGTCAAGATTTTACCCAACTGAGAGGCCTGTTTGATGTACTAGTCTCCTCTGCAATAATCTGAGCTTTTATTTTCAACATAAATAGACAAAAAGCTATCACTTACTAGCTTTCCCATGCCTAAACAAAGAAACAGTCCTGCCACAGGCTATGACTTTGATCAGACTATGCACAAATGCTCAGGGAAGAAAGCAGGCCTTGCAGGACAACAAGGTGGTTTAACAAATGCTGCGGAGCTGGGATGCTCAGCTGAGTAAACACGGCAGTTAGCTCAGGAGGGAGTTGTTCCTGAACTCTGCTGCTCTGCTGGAATTCAACGGGGAATGAGTTTCCGAGTCCTGGGGCTGGGGTTACAGCTGGACAGCTACAGTAGAAGTACCTCCGCTCTTCCCAGTACTGCAGCAAGACATGGTCTGATTGTTCTGCAGCAGTACAGTATAAGTACATGGCATTTTTTTAACTTGAAAACTTTGATGTGTAAGAGGGCAGTTCTGAATCAAAAGGATGTTCAATGATCTTTTCTGATTTAATGCAGAAGCAGGTTCCTTGTCTGAGGAACATCAGCAGTGGAGTTGCGTTTCCCCTTCAAGGAAAGCATCAGCAAAAGCCAGGAAGAGATCCAGAAAGGCTGAGGAGGGTTCTTCTGTGGCCGTTGCTGAACCTCCTTTCCACACGCAGCTAAGGGTTTATCTAGACCAGAAATGGGAGAGCACAGCAAAAGGAGAAAATGGACAGGAAAACGCAACTTTTCAAACCCTGGAAGAATTCACATCAGCTTATGTTCAATTTATACTGAAGGAAGCCATTTCAAACTTGACTGGCCAGCCAGCTGCCAAGAGTGAGAGTGATGTGGAATTCAATGAACAGCCTAAGGTGTTTATACATGAGTTAGCAAACAATGAAGTTTCCCTTGGTACTGCCAAACCACTCTTTTCTCACAGTTTTTCTCCATTTACTGTCTTGGACTTCAAGGCAGATGTACCTGAACGTGATACTGAAGAAGTGAGCTTACAATCGAGTTCTGAAAGTGAAGGGGCAGATAGCAGGGCTGCCTGGTGTATTAGTCACAGAACTTACGACATTGGCAACAGAAATGAGTTTGAAAGATTCAGGAAGTTCATTAAAGGAACTCTTGGGGAGAGGTACTGGTGGCTCTGGATGGATATTGAACGACTAAAGGTTCTTAAGGACACTAGAAGGCAGCAAAGGTATTTCCTGTTATTTAACACTTATTCCCATTATTTTAATAGCTGTAACCTGGCTAGATTAATGCAGATTTTGAGAATGTAGAATAAATAATTGCAGTGAGTGAACTGAAGGGACACAGTTAAAGTAGTTATGGGTTTCCTGACAAGGTAAGTGAGGAGTGACTCCACTGAAGCTGACAAAACTTTTTTTTGCAGAGGCGTGTTCGCAAAACTCACATGAAATCAGAATTGTCTCCGTATTAAGGCTGTGTTAGAAAGCGATTTAGAAGACAGAACAGTGATAAAAAGAAAAAAGAATAAAAGAACTTAAAGTCATAATTAGGGCATTCAGAATGACAAACTGCTTTAATGAAAGGCTCTGCTAAATTTAGATTGTCTGTCCTAAGGTACTTAGGTATTTTATCTTTCATAAGACCTGGCTCTAATTTGGGCAAAAAATATTTTGACTTCTGCCATTTACAATAAAAAAAATGTTGCATGAGAACAGTTTAATCAGTAAGATGATCTGTGCTTATTTCTGATACATGCTTATGTGACTACTTTTGTTGACTCAAGGCAGCTTGATAAGATGAAAAAACTCTATCTGCTGAGCGGTGGAGATTATTGCCTCAGTTCGGAAGTCTTGCTCAGATTTGATCTACTACGTGGAGATCAGTGGAATATAAGGCATTTAAGACAGATTCAACCTGAAGTAGTGAAACCTTTACTTCTTTACTGGTATGAATAAATGAAGAGTCAATGAGATTCTATTCCTTAACACATTTCCCTTTCCTTTGATAAGCCCATTAGAAAGATGTATTTCATCTCATTTGTCCCCTTGCAATTATGGAAAGCAATGTCAGCATAAATGCTAGCAGATGTTGCCTCTGCATTTTTAGTTGAGACTAACCTACACTGCAACCTGCTGAGAAGCCAGATAGATCTGCCTTGCTGAGCTCCTTGCTACACTACTACCAGTAGCAGCTGAACAGCCTTGCATATAGCTGGCTTGGATATCATTCTACCAAACTTCAGGCTGCAATGTGGACATATTCCTCCAGGCAGAGGTTAATTCTCTCCTAATGTATCCCCCATACAGCCCTTCTCAAGTTACTGAAGATGCTCAGAGTATACATCTGTATGGAGTTTGACCCTGAGACTTTACTGTTCAATGTTATACAAAATCCTTTTTACATATTGACAGCTTAAGCAAGGATACAAATTCTAACCTATTTCCAAAACATAAGCTAAATTTGTGAAGAACTTCTCCCCTCCCTGAGGGGTATCAACAAATTGCAGTCATGAACAAATACCTGCAGCTGTGAACTTTGCTGTGGAGTCTCATACAAATTGTAGTTTATGTCCTGTGACCTATACTCCTTTTCTATTCTTGCTGTAGGAAGGCTGTGGGATGTTTTACTGCACTCTCCTATACAAGGCAATTATGTTACAATGCAGTATTTGCAACCTAAGCTTTTTTAGGTATAGCTTGTTTTTAGATTTGGAAGAGTGTTACGGTCTAAACATAACTTTTACACTACCTGTTTTTTAATTCTAGGTGCTTACAGCACCATATCCTGATACAGCAAACATTATCATGAAAAGAAGAGCCTAGTTTTGAAGAAAGTCTATTTATTAGCATTTTTTTTCTCTAGGGGTCCCAGATTTTGTGTCACTCATTCAACAGCAATACAAACTGCCTGTGCAAAACTGAAGCTTTGGCATACACACCAAGAGAGACCAAGGGTGGACATTGATCCTTTTCCACAAATGGTATCATTGTTGCCATTGAGGCCTAAGTCTTGTATGCCCAGGATATTGCTTTCCCTTCCTCACGTAAGTAGAGTCAGGTCACAGCACTGAAAAACAAAGCCCGATCCCATCCAAAATTATGGTAAAACTCCTTGAATTCAGTGAGACAAGAATACGGTCCTTGGTTGTTATCAAGTCATGATTCAGTAAGAGAGATTTCTTTCTTGCGGATGGTCATGTACAGAAATGCAGCAAAATTTTACTATGTTTTATGCAACAGTTCATTGTAAACTGAGTCAGATTATTTTCTCAATTATATGATTACTATTTCATAAGTCTTTTAGATAGATATTTTAGCTAAACGTTCTCAGAACTACATTAAAAATGTACAGGGCAAATTCTGCCCTTCAATCAGCCTTATCTTAATCCAGAGTAGTTCTTACAACCTCACTGCAGTTCCCCTGAATTTCCCCTTGTGTTTATAAAACGGGCAGAGTTCTGCTCAGTTTCTATTGCTACAGTCATTCAACTGGCTAACCTTGATACTTGTTTTCTAGAGAGGGCCAGCATGTAGCTTGTAGGTGGCCAGTTCAGTTGTGACTCTGTTCTTCCTTGGAAGCCTGAATTTGAGAGTTGGCTGCAATGAAAGCTGCAGGTTTTCAGCAACAGTGTTAAGCCTCAGTACAGAAGGTACTTGGAGAATGTGAAGCCAGACTGTGATTCCAGTATTAAGAATTGGAGGGTCTATGCCACGTGTCTGTTCAAGTACACCTCTAATATTTTGAACTGGATAGTTTTAGACTGCAATTTTAATATATGTTTTATAAAAGCTAATTAATGGAGATAATGGAGGGAAAGCAGTGGGACAGATTTCCTGCTCAGAAGAATTTGGGCCTGGGAGCCAGGTTCATGCTGAGCTCAGCAGGAGTGGGAGCCAGAAGAAGCTACCTCTGACAGAGGCCAATCCTGGCCCTACAAGGTGTGCTATGACCCAGTACTAGCTGTAGGTCAGGGAGACAGGATCTTAACTCTGCAGGATTTCCAGGTTCTACTGAGTTCAGCACTTGAAGGAAACTATGTTCTGGCACCCGTAACTCTCACAGAATCAGCTGATTAACCGTTTGTTGCTGCTTTTTTGCTGTGAGAAAACTGGACTGCTGAACCTTTCAGCTCTACTGTGTTGCAAGAGCTTTTAAAGTGCAGCAACTCAGACTGAATTTCTGAAGGCACTCTGAGTGCAACTGGCATCTCCAAAAAGTAGTAGAAAGTTTTTGTTCAAAATAAGTGATGATGTGGCAGAATGCTCCCTTTCTGAGCAATGACTGTATCTGTCTTGCAGCCCTGGTTTCTAGTGCAGCTGTTCTTAGTAAACATTCATTCCTAAAGAAACATCGCTGACATGTTCTTCACTTGACATCCTCTGTAATTCTATACAAAGTGCATGTAAAATATTTCTAAGTGCATGTAAAATATTTCTATCTGTTCAAAATGTAATTTTTAAGCGATAGTGGTTATTAAGTTGTGCTGAACAACCTTGGAAGATTTCAGAGAAGCTTGTTGCAATTTGCAGTTTTAGATATTGTTTTTAAGAAGGAAAACAAATGGTTCTGAAAATTGTTTAGAGCAGTTAGTGGGAACATGTTAAAAAACACAAAGGTGGAAAAAAAATCTGAGTTGCCCTATCTTTCTGCTATGTCTTTTAGAAAAGTAGAACTAGTTCACCAACAACTTTATTAAAACTAGCTACACCAGATTTCTCTTTGAAGAGATCATCAAGGTTATCAGCTACCCTGTCACCAAGTCAGAGCCCCCGAAGACATGATGATTCTAGCAGTAGAAAGTGGTAAGTGCAAAAGTTGCTTGTGGCTCTTTCTGTACCTCAGATACTTATGAAAGGCTTTCAGATCCTACTGTTTTCATGAATATGTTTATTTAATATATTAATCTGCTTGCTGAAGCATACTTATGGTACAGACGGCTTGCATGGGAAATTTCTTCCTGGCAGATTAGTTTGTCATTTGTTTATGTCACAACACAAAAGAGTTTATTTCTCTAAATACCAGTATTTTACTCTCTCTGGTGTAATCGGGGATAATCTCTACAAATATTTGTATTCTTTTAACCTGTTTCAACCACTTGCCCTCAAAGATATGTTGTGTATGTCGATGAGTTCCATGTGGTCACATGAAAAAGCATTTCTCTGATTAGTTTTAAATTTATTTTAAATTTGAGCTCCATTTATTTTTTCCCTACTACTCAGTATGTTGTTCTACCTGTCTCATGCCCCTTCTTAGTTTTTATTTTATAAATTGTCCTAGTCTTTCACTAAGTAGGTACTGAAAATCTTATTTCTTTGCGGGTGTAGGCCAAAATCCATGAGCAGTGACATGATTCATTGTTTAGCTTTGGATGATGCGGCAGACTCGAAATACCAGGGCGGTAGAAAATACACCTATGCTGAATTGCTCCAAGTAAGTAGCACTTGAAGATTTTAGTTGTCTTGAATGATGGGTTAAAACATTTTATTCTGTAGCATTCATGGGAAAATAGTCAATGATTTGGGGAAATTGATTTGATTTGATTATGTGAATGTCTTTGTCTTATGCATAGAATGTCAGAATTTTCTGTGTGGTATATGTCACCTGTTTGATACGAAATCATAGCACGTACAGAGGTTTGTTTTCACTAGAAAGCGCTGATCTTTTCCATGGTGACCGTGTGCTCAGTAGGTTATTACAGAAAAGTCACTGGATGAACGCTTCAGTGGAATCATTGTCTAGGAAAGTATACCAGGCTTACAGTGTAACTAAGAACTGAATCTGGCCTAGAAAGTCATTAAAATAGTAAAATTTATAAGAGGAAAATGTTTCAGTTGTAAAATTCCTCTTTATTGCTTGCATACTTTATTCTTTAGTTTGTTGAACTATTGCCTGCTAAGCAAAGCCCTCAATCCAGCAAGCCTCGGGAGGGACAGGCTGCACAGAAGAGCCTTTTCTTAATAACTATTAAAATGCTGACAAATAGAGCATGTGAGATGCCAAGATTTGGCAATTTAAAATATACCCAAAACTTTTCATGTCTGTGGAATGCTCCTGAAACAGCCTGCTGTTTCAGAGATATTGATACCTCACAACTCAAAAAGCATACTGTGAAATTTGGGCCTGCTTCCACATACATGGAGTTTGATCTGTTGAGCGTATCGTTTGTTTTTCACATCAAAATCATACTTTGTTCATTACTTCAATGAAATAATTTTCTTTCTTTTTTTGTTAATTTTAACAGAAGAAAAGGCTATTATTGTAATTAGGGGACATTTATGGTTGGAAACTTATATTCAGGAAATGTTCACATTGACTTTTAGCTTTTATACATCTTCATCATGCAGTGTTTCTGTCTGGCTGATAGGAGGAAAATACTAGTCACTGACACCCGTGGGGCTGGACAGGAACCTACAATGAGGACCCCAAAATTTGCTGTCCCAAATATGACAGAAAGGGGAGTGCAGGTTTTCCATAGTTTAATGTCATACGGGGAAGAGGGGTCCTCCTACTCTGTATCAGAGGCCTGGCTTCCCCCTGCCCTTCTCCTTCACTGTCACTGTTCGGAAGGGAGCTGGTTGTCAGCTGTCCTGCTCACCTGCTCTCACTTCTGTCATCAGTGACAGAGGGCCAGCCAAAGCTTCTCTCTTGGGGTTTCCAGAAGATAATTTAGTCATTTGTAAATTCCTCTGGCTTCTGTGAATGTTGGTAAAATGGATGTATTCTTCCTCAAATGCTTCCAGAGCCAACCACAGTAGAGCGCACAGATTTCCTGTCCCCTAACATGCTCATGATTTTGATGCTGACATCAGTGGTATAGCTCCAAGAGACATACCTTTTTCTCCAGGATAGCTAATTGTTTTGAGGCTTGACCAAAAAGTCACTTCTATTAAACTTCTATTAGTTTAAAACACAGTAGCCTGAACTAAGGCAACTTTTGACAGTAGGTCACAATACTAAGTGATACAACTTACTATCAATGGGCTTCCCTGGGTTCAGAGTTAGAGAGATAATGGCAGAATTAAGACCAGGATTGTTTTCCTGTTTCAAGTATTGAGGAACCACCTAAGGGATACTATGGTCATTTTGCTGTTTTATTTGCCTTTAGTCATCAGATTTATTCCACTGGACATGAATATTTAGTGGTAAAATGGTACGGAGCATTATGATCAATTGCATATGTAGTAGAAAATGGAGCCTGGTTTCCTGGGAGGAAGATACTAATTGAACACACTCCATGGCCCGCCATTGCAATGTACTGACACTTGAAAATAATGAAAGCCTGTTATTCTTTGTTGCATAATTATATTTTGTTTGTCCAGGGGAAAAGTGCTCCTGGCAGTGCTGTCCTGGGGGGATCAAGAATGGAAAGCATGCTGCAATCTCTTTATTTGGAGAACAGAGCAGGCTACTACTTCACACACTTCTGCGAGAAGTCAGGGAATAAGGTATGAGCATTTTCCTGCCCTGTGATAATTTAGTCCACAACTGACTGAATGCCAAGTTATAGAGGGCAGCCAGACTGAAAAAATAATTGGAGAAAGAAAGATTGATGACTGGATGAATTATTACTTGTGAGACTACAATCCCTCAACAACAATAAACTGTTCATGTGTATATTGAAACTAACGACATGTCTTAACCAAACTGTCAGATCATAACTGTCTCAAAGCTTTTGGAAATCTGATTGTACCATCAGGGATAAAAAAAGACTAATCATTTTTAGAAACTAGCCTTTAACTTGGCAGGAAAAAAAGAGGTCTTAACCCACAAAAACATTTTTTAAAAGGATGGAAAATCTGCTATGCTATTACTCATGATAATCTGCCTCCTTCTACTTGCTGGGTTAGTGATGTCCAAAATCTCCAGTGTTTTAAAAACGTTCTTCTGCTTCCACGAAGCTCCTTGGATTTCTGAGAAACATAACACTATTTCTCCTCTGCAGTCAGCAGAGTCATCATTCATTGCTGGGTGTAAACTGAGGATTGGTTGGAACAAGTTATCAATCTGAGTCAGTGTTTAGTGGCTTTGCAGAAACATTGAGTCTTTAGGGGAGATTTCAGTACAATCAAGATGGACATCTGTTCCACTGCTAGCACAGCCCAGAATCCAGCAGCAGTAGCTAGAAATGCCTTTGGCTACCAGAAAGCAAGAGCCAATATTTCCAAAGCTGAATACCTTAAGCTAAAAATATTAAATGTGTATAGACAGAAATTTACATGACAGTAACTTATTTTTCATGGGAGATAAGTACCCACATGTCCTCTAGTATTTGCAGGTGCCAGACTCCTTTGAAAATTAGTCTCTTAAGATGTTGTCTACACCCGTGTAAATTATTTCATTCATAAGCTGTGTCTGGCAGGCTGCAGTTTGTGGCACAAAGTTCCTCACCATTATCTTTTTTGAACGCCCTCTTCTATTGTCCAGTGATGGGGTTTCCAGCATATTTTTAAGATCCACACCCCGTAAGTACGGTATTAAAACAGGGCGCTTGGGGAAAGATCTAGGCTGCTTCTTTGGAAAGATCTTTTGATGTTTATTTAAATTTCGGAAATGAAGCCAAGATTTTGTGCCTCAGAAATGCATGTAATAAAAATGTAATGATAGTCACAATAACATACGTCAAGTATACAATATTTAATTGTTTTGGTTATTGCTGTTCCACCATGGCACACATTCTGCATATCCATTATCAGCATTTCTTCCTAAGTGCTGGCTTTATGCCACTGAAATGTGGTTATTCTTCAAATGTTAACAACAATGTTAACAATTTTAATGGCCAATTATGCACAAAGGATACAATAAAAGATAGAGTATCGCAGTGACAATGCCATTAAGTATGTTGTCCTTCTGCCAGTATGCAACAGAAGATTAAATCCATCTTAAATTGAACTTGATTTATGATGACCCTGAGAAGCTAAATAATTACTTGCATTGGTAACTCAACCTTTTATAAAGTCCTGATATTTGGGTAACAGTAACTTACTTTTTTTTTTTTTTCTCATTTGTAGCTATGGAAGAACAGTGTGTACTTTTGGTTTGACCTACAGGCTTATCATCAGCTTTTCTACCAGGAAACTCTTCATCCTTTTAAAATATGCAAGCAAGCTCAAGTAAGTTGTAAATAATGTGTTTTCCCTTCACAAATACATTTGTTCAGTGTAAGACTGAAAAGAAGACAGGAGGTGGAAAGGTTTCCAAATCTTGACAACCAACACCAAAGTAAATCTGGGCTGTGGACAGTAAAAGAAGCTCTTTGGATTGTTACCATGGAATTTCTTGATTTAAATGTTAAACATGCATAGTTTGATTTCTAGGCTCTGTTGTCTGTTCCCAGTTTTATCTGTTATGTTCAGTTTACCTAGTCTCCCCTTTGCTACTCTGTGTTGAATTTGGAAACTGTCTGCTTAGTGTTAATGTTAGTGATAACATTTTTTATAAATCAGCTAATAGTACTGTACCTTTCTTTCCATCTCCTGTGTGGGTTAGAAGTGCAAGTCTTGCAGTCCAGATCTCAGACAGTGACCTTAGCTATGGAAATGGGTCTTTTAGTTGTCAGTCCTGTGTTTCCTTTTCTGAATCTTAGGGTGTCATTATTCTCCTTACACAAATTCTCCCCCCTACATGATCTTTAGACCCTCATTTACTGTCAAGTGGAACTGATATTGCCTATAAATAAGTGTTCTTAACTGAGCATGCACTTTAAGTCTTGGTGCAGAATAAGAATAAACTGATTTACCACAGGCCATAAGTGCTGATAACTGTTACTGAGTACAGACTAGTAGGATACTGCCAGGAAGGAGGCTACAGCAGTGTGATATCATTAGAAGCATTCCAAGCAACTTTTAAAATCATTTTGTGAAACTCTGGTCTGTTTTTCCTCTCTAAACCTTGTGTAGGAGTATATTCTATCTGCATATTTGAATATATGTTGTAATAGAGCAAAGCTACTTCTTCACATGTCCTTGGAACAAATGTCTGTACAGTGGTGCAGAATAGTCTCTTTGTACAGCTAAGGTTATTGAGCATCTGGGCTTCCTTGATTTGTCTTCTTTGTCTGCTTGAAAGTTTTACTACGGCAAATGACAGAATTTTGCATGTTTGTCCAGAATTCCCACCTGAATCACTGTTAGTTGTATGGAAACTCTGAACAGAGACTGAGGCACAGATTCCTTCCTCTTCCCCTTCACACACTGGCTAACTTGAACTGCTGTCTTGTTTACTTTTTTTCCCCTCTATTTATGGCCTGAGGCTAATGGCATAAGGCTTTTAAGGCTGTCCTCGTTGTTTGTTCCTGAAACTGCCTGTGCCTCCAGGGTCTGCCCAGCATGCTTGTAGGGCCTGTGTATGGCTAGGGGACCCAGTTCATATCAGACGCATAAGCTCACTGCCTCCTCTGCACTCCTCCAGGTCTATCGCATGCATCTATTTAAGAAGCTGGATAAGCACATTGGACAGCCTGGCCGTCTTGTCCCTGTCCTTATATCTTCAGAGCTGAGCCTCTGAGCTTGATGCATGCTTAACTAGATAATCTTTTGGGAATCTTGATGTTAGAACGTTATTCTGGGAAAAGTCCAGATGTGTGATTTGTTTGTTTATTTTCCAAAGTCTTACAACATCCTTACAGCATAGTATTTTTAGGACAATAGGGGAAAAATTCTAAAAGTGAAAAAAATAGATGTTAGTAACTAAGTAATTGGTGTTGCTACTTGTGCCCATTATCTATATTGAACGTTAGGGCTCAGCTCCAGAAGTAAACTCCCAAATGGTATTCTGCTCCAGAGACTATATTGCACTCCCTTAACCTGAAGATGAAAGTAGAGTTGTAAGATGCTGGCAAATTGATGGGAGATTCAGTAGCAGCTTGGCTGCATCCCATTTTTCACTAGGAAAAGTTATGCTGACCTACATTTACTGTGGCATTAGTGAGGACAGCTAGCTTGCTTAATGCCTGGTAATCAGAGAGTTAGGAGTATAGCGGTGGTACTCTGTGTAAAGCCAAAAACATGAGACATTCCTATGTGTGTGTTTTTTTTTTTAAACCATATATAAACTGTTTCTTCATTTTCCTGTATGTTTTATTGTAGGCTGGATCTTAGGCTTTGGTCCATAACAGTTTAAAGTGATGTTTTTTAATTTGATTTCATTTTACACCCAGCTTGCACTCTTTTTTTGCAGCAATTGAATCACTGAAAATTAAGGCCCTTGTCTTTTTTATTTTTCTTATCTTATTTCCAGTGCTGGCCTGCTGGTGACAGCAGAACATCGTACAATCAGGGTTACCAGGCAATTGCGGAGGGCTACATACACATAGCCATTAAAGTAAATACATCAAAACGAAATATGTGAAACTGTTCCATTAGCATAACTAACAGCTGAAATGTAACATAACAAATCAACACATGTGCTGCAACATTTGGTATCATTCTCAAGTTTGCCTTTTAAGGCTGCACAAAAATTATTCTTGTTTTCATTGGAACACAGTTAAGAGTCAAGCTGCATCCAATCTACAGGGTCTGCTTATGGAAAAGATGCCTTCCCAAAATCTGTGCTCACCTTTGGCACAATAAAATAGTTATTCCAAATGCTCCTAAGAGAATGTGGATCAGATTCTAATAGCACATCATCGTATCTATTCTACAATTTATTACAGAAAGAGATATTGAGAGTATTTTGTATGTGTTCTGCCTGCTTCCTGTTAGAAATAAGAACGAACCCTGATTGATTGCTACGTATCGGCTACTCAGTATTTCATTTGTTAGGTATTTTTTATCTCAGCTTTGTGATAGAATAAGGAAATGCATTCTGAGGTGTATATTCATTCATACAGGGAAAGAAACGATAGTGAGAACGAAATCTGATGCATAAGAAAAATGATGGGTACCAGTAATCATCTAAAAATGTAGTGGTTATTCATTATAAACATACACATGGGAGTGTAAAATAAATTGGGAAAGAAAAACAATAAAAGAAACACATGTTGTATTTTGCAATGAAAAATAATTACTTAGAGTTAGAAAATTTGATACATTTATGGGAAGTACAATATTTTAAGACTAGAGCCAATTTAGATAAAGGAAGTTACTGGAACTTGTAGGGTCAGACACAGGATTTATGTTAGTGGAAAGTCATGGAAGGGGTTAAGGTGATTTAGCCTTTCCATTTAAGACCAGGCAGTGCATTGCACTCTTCGTATCATACAACTCAGTCAAGCAGCTGCAGAACCCCTTCATTTAGATCAGAGCAAAGTCCAGGCCTGTGAGCAGCCATACAAAGCACTTACTTAAACTTAATTCTTTTTGTTGTCTCTTGTCTTGCTTCACCCTAGTCATTCTGAGATTGCTTACCAAAGTCTTCTTACCTAGGGATGAATTCACACCAAAACCCAAGACCTGAACAATCCTCAATTTGTATCCCCAAAATCCATAAACCAGGCTAAAATCTTAATCTAAATTTCCCAAGCATTTGGTGTCTTTGGATTTGTACCGTATAAGTAATTTCAAGATGCAAACTGTGATCAAATTTCCAGATCTGGGTTTTGGGTTGGATCTATCACTTATTCTAATACATTTATAGGAAAATACATAGATGAAAAGGTAGGATTTTTTTTTTTTGTGTCTTACAGAAGGAACAAAATATTGAATAAATGAAGTATTTCGTGCATGTGATGTCATATGTATAAGATAGATATTTGTGTGAATTTTAAAGCCTTAAATTCATTTAACGTGATTTTTTTCTGTTGATCCTTTAGGACATTGGCCAATATCACAGTTTTACTACTACATTGAGATTCAGAAAACCACAAAACTTCCATAACATGGGAGTCAAAAAAAGACTATGAATATTCCTTTTAAAAGGGTACAGTGTGTTTTTCCCTATATCTCGCTGACTTACGCCCAGTGTTGAAGGCTGTGAACGCATCCTCTTTTCCTCTTGTTTGGCATGTCTAGAATTCAGAGCCATTGGTCTTCACACAGTCCTTGCATTCAACTGAGTGCAGATCTGCAGGTGTACCTGAACACGAGGCTGAGAGCTCTTTTTCCTCTCTCCTAAAACATCTTCAAGTGCATTCAGTCACTTTGCCGCTCTGTGATACTGTTTCTAGCATAGTGGAGGGCATCAAATCCCACAGCAACAGACTCTGAACAATTTAAGCAGAAAGATGCTTGAATCATGCCAAATCCTTAGATGGTATCAACCTGCACCCTTCAAAGATGAAGAAGTCATGCTGAGTACAGCACTGAGGATCTAGTCCTTTGAGACTGGAAAAGTACACTCCTATAGCTATTTCAACCACCTCTAAATTTCTACTTTACATGTGTGTTGCCAGCCCTAACTCCCTCTGTACTGCTTATGGAAAAAAATGTCTGTCTTTATTATTTGCTTTATTATGCTCTAGTTTTGCATCTGAAATTAAACACTACTGGAGGGCAGTGTGCAAGTACAGAAGCCTGCAAAGGCAGACTGTAATATAGCAATATATTATGACAGTGTCCATGTGAGTAGATTGTTAATAGTTTTGGCCAAAGCCTCTTAATCTGTGTAATTTCTGACCCTGTAGGCTGATTTTTTGTCAGCTGTAAAGAAGAGTAGAAAAATACATTCAGATTAACCCACTTAATACAAAATCAAATGAAGAAAATAAGTTTTCTGCCCAAGGAAGATGGGGAGATTTATTTTTAATTTTATTCTTAAAATTATGTTAAAGACAACCAGCCATTTAAGTAACCAGGTTAAATGTATGTTAAAATATTAAGGATCTGTTCTGGCCCCTTTTCACCAATTTATAGATCCCTTGTGTGGTTCTATGAGTCATAACAAGTAGACCAATGTAGCCCTAATGCTAAATAAATTGGTTGACCCCTCCTTAAAAAGGCTATTTTTAGAGATACCACATCTTTATATTGCTGGACTGTTCCTTTCTCATTTGGCTATTTTGTATGTTAAATGTTTTGGATGAGATTAAAAGATGATGTAACTGAAACTTTATTAGTATTAGGGTCCTTCAAAATAACTTCCAAGGTTTGACATCACTATGAATCTAATTAATGCTCTCTCTGCTAAATTTCAGTTCCTTTTGGGATTTTCTGAGACGTGCATAAGTTAGGATAAGCGTGATCTTGTTCTTCAGCTAAAACTCTAACATGCATGGTCTATGAAATGCTGAAAGAAAGTGCTTTTTTCTTCCTGACTTTTCAATATTCTTTTTTATAACAATTTATGAAACATTGAAAAAAAGTAGAATTTGACTTAGGTGACTATTTGAAAAAATAATTATTTCCTTCAAAATAAATTAAAAAGTGGCTCTGTGCTTCAAGCGCAAGTTGCTAGTGAGAAGGCAACATTCTCCAGGTTCAGCTTTTCTCTGTTTTTATGTGTTACAAAGCCTGTAATAAACCTGGCTTTGTTAAGGGTTTTGACCTCAGTTCTGCACTGATACCTCCGGTTATGGATCCTGTCCCATGCTGGAGTCCCACCATTGTCCAAGGCAAGAGGATCTTAGCACAGATTGAAATTCTGTTTATTTTCATTAATTTGAACCTAAAATTACAAATTCCAATCTATTCTTAATTCAAATGGAAGAAGTAAGAATCATTCACAAGTTGGCCAAGCATGTATTTTGCAAAAGAACAATGCACAGTATTATATCTAAGTGTTGTAGCAATAACAATCCGTGAATCTATGAAGACCCACAGTCACTGTAACTGTTGTGGTTGTCTGAATGTAACTAATGATCAGCCAAATACCTCCCTCCATGCAAGGATTACATTACACATTATTTTGAGGTGTAGCCATTTTAACAAGTAGGAGTAAAAATGGCAGGGAGCTCAGCTATGGCAGTTACTGAGTTCTGGACAAAATGGTAACATAGGTAAAAACAAGGTAGGTGTGATTAGATGTACATCTAGAATATACAACAGGACAGTGAGGGACAAATATGCATTAAGTCTCTCCTTCAGTGAACTGTGACCATTAGAATGGATGATGACTAAGAAATATTTTTTTTCTCTTTTATTGTAGTTCCTTTATGCAACTTACATTGCCCCATCTGCCAGTATGGCCATTGGACTTCATCAAAATAAGAAACAAGAGATTTATCAGAAGATTGACCCAGCTTTTGAGGATCTTTTTGACCCGGCAGAAGAATACATTCTCAGTCTTCTGCTAGAACCATGGATGAAGATGGTAGAAGCAGACAAATGCAGTTATGAAAAGGTAACTAACCTGGATGACGCTGTGAAGGATTCTTACGTCAGAGGAAGAAAATCGCATAAGCTTTCCTATGTAGCCCCTGCTCCCCGTGAGTCCCACCCATGAGTCGGTTGCATTTTCAGTCAGGAAGGGAGAAATATTACTGGCCATTTCACTCACTCATTCCCTTCACTCACTTCATTCCCTCCACAAACAGGCTGGCTTCATCATGAGAGCAGACCTCCCCTCCAAAAAAATCTGCAGGTCTGTAAATTAGGGAGGGATGTATCTTGCTATGGCAAGGAATTTATCTTGCTATGGCAAAATCTGTGTTTGCATTCAAGGAGTGTCATGTTTCTGCAATCATGCCATTGATTAAAAGCCATTTTCTTACCATGGATAGCCCATGAGCCTTTTATGTTTTAAATGATAAGCAGAAAATAAGTAGCATTTCTAAAGTGTCAGTATAATGATGCTAAGTCCATAGTTGACTGTATCAGGCATTTCTTGGTGTTTGTATTTAAAGCACAGCTACTGCTTAGCATAGGAGGAAATGAGATATTGTGATCCAGCTGTGTTTGCCCCAAACACTGTTTTTAGATAGCTGCCATGCTGTGAAAGGGCTAACTGTGCTCTGCGGGCTTTCTGAAGTAGGTGGTCAGTGGCATACATGGGTCTATGTCCAGAGAGACAGCTGAAGGCTTGGACTGAGCAGGTGCATGCAGCTAGAGGGGAAGGCTGCAATTCTCACTTTGCTTTTCACAAACCAGAATAAGAAATAGCTGAGGCAGTGGTGAGGGCTGTGGGTCTCTGCTGCTTGTAAACTTACAAGGAGTTACCAACTGTGCAGCAAAACGCTACTTCCAGATCTGTAAAATATCTCTTTTGTATTTGGAAGATTCTTGCAATGGAGAACCAGGAGCTGGAGGGCAGGAAGTTATTTCTTGATCCTATTTTATTCCACTGTGACCTAAGATTAAGCATCTCTGCTTGTACAGGAAATGGCATCATGTGCTCCTGGTAGGTCTGCCAGCATGTAATGGGAACATAGACTCATTACCACCTCCGAAGTGTTTTGAGACCCTTTTGTGGAAGTTTTGCAGCACAATGGATTATTTTTGCTACTACTATAATATTGTCCATATATGTATGGACTGAACAGATAAGCAAACTCAAAGTTGGGAATGGACTTTCAGGCCTATTAGGTGGTGGCTGATACTAGACATGTAAGAATAGAATATAAGAGCAGGATAATCATGCAGCAGTCTTGCCAGCGTTCAGCACTTTGCAACTAAGGCAGTTCGTGAAGCAGAGGCTTTATCCGCATTTTTGTGCTTTTTAATAGTCTTTGATGACCTTTCCCCCCCATGAATTTATGTAATGTTTTTTGAGATGTTTTATATTTTCAGCCTCACTGTAGCAATGACTTCAACAGTAAGTTGGTGGAAAAATGCTTATTTAAGTTTGTTTTCAAATTTCTCCCAGATAATTTCATCTGATGTTCCAATGTTGTATGTTATCAACAGTGGAACAGAGGAACAGTGAACACTTGTTACTAGTCATATTCTCAACGTTGTTTCTGCTTTCGCATGTTTCTGTTGTATCCGGGTTTAATTAATTCTTTTCCAAACTGAAAAATCCGAGACTATTTAACCTCCCATTTTACAGAAGTTTTTCCTTACCTCTGTTATACTTATCCCCCCGATCTGTATCTATAGTGTTATATTCTTTTGATGTGATGCAAGCAGTACTCAAGATATGCATGCACCAAGGACTATTCAGTGGCATAATTATGTTTTCTGTTTTGCTCCGTAATCCTTTCTGAATTGTTCCTATCAATCTAATTGCCCTTTGACTCCTGGTGAGCTTCGAGTGGATGTGCAAAATAGAAGCTAATAGCCATCTGCAATGATTCCAAGATCTTTTTACTAAGTAAAATAGCTAATATAAGGCCCTAATTTGGAGCCCATTTGAATTACTTCATGGTTACTATAGTTGAATTCAGCTGGCCTTATCATGCAGATGCTAAGTATCCTGCAATCCTACAGCTCCTCACAGTCAATTTAATTTTTCACTCTGTGGAATCATTTTGCAAACTTTGTTCTCGCCTCACTCACCTCCTTCTCCAGATAATTTCTGAATGTTCTCAAAAAAACAACCCAGCACAGATTCCTATGAGACTCCAAAAGGAACCCCACCCCATTATGAAAGCTACGTATGTATTTATGGCTTTTTCGGTCCTCTAATTAATTCACAAGAGGGTCTTCCGTCTCATCCTACGATAACTTAATTTCCTTATGAACCTTCAGAAGTTTGAACACTGTTAAAACTTTTCAGAATGAAATATGCTAATCCAAATACATTTGTGCCATACTGTCTTCTGTTTTCAGTGTCTTTTTAGCTGAGAAAGCCAGTTCAGCTACGATTGTTTATGACCCATAGAATACCATGTAATGGATCGACGCTTTCATTAACATGAAATTTTATTCACTTTCTACCAGCTTAATGTTACTGTAAAACTATACACCTTTTTTAAATATATGTTTCCATAAATATTAAGAATACTAGATTGTCTAATATCTGTTGCAAATATTCATTGGGTCATGTCATCTGATCAGCAGAGTATTAAAATGTATCATTTTTGTATGAAAGGGGCTGCTTCTAAACATTCTTTAAACACATCGTTTTCACTGCTTCTAGTGATGGAAGAACTCCTTGAAAGTAAGAATTTAAATAATAAACTCTTGTTTTATGTTAAGTTAATGCATGTGTCAGTTATATCTCCTTGAGTTAACTGAGGGATAATCTCCTTTTGCCCTTTCAGTTTAGATGATGCTTTACAAGTGTTCTGTTATGTGCAGACTTCTCAGCGTCCTAATAACACAAATATCTTAATCAGAGCACGAAAAATAGGACTAAGTCCTTTTGAATGCACAAGATATTCGTTTGGGAAGAGTTATTTTACGCAGACATAAGATGACCTGTTCTAGGAGGCAGGAGTCTCTTCTCCGAGGCGCGGCGCAGGCTGATGCATTAGGCACACTTCTTCCAAGCACAAAGAACAGGTCTGCTTTGTATTTTGTCCAATCCCTGGCTCTGCTCTCCCCCTTTGTTCTCCCATACAGCAGGATGTATTCGGCCCATAATGAAACAAGATATTTTATCAAGAAATAGGTGAGTGCAAAATTGTTTATTCGGGACCTAGTCAGTATCTATCTACCTTTTTATCTTTAAGCAAAACATGAAAACAGGGGAGTTTTTTATTGGCTCTCAGGCTGCTTCTATCTATTCACTCTTTAAAGTTTGTGAAAAATGTACTAAATTATTTTCTTATTTCCTTTTAAATTACACCTTCTTTTCAAGGAAACAATACCCCAAAGCACTGCATAACAGTAGAATAGTTACACTGAGCCGGAAGGCATTCAGCTAACACGGTGATTAGTGTGCTATTTATATTTAGACAAAAGCATGATGAAAACATGTTGAATGTTAATCTGAAAGTTCTCTTCTCTATTTTGCACATAAACTCCTGTATAGTTTCTAATCTTTGTAATGGAATTGCTAATCTGTATGCTAATTGACTCAATTTTGCTAAATATTCTAATCCCACATTTGAAAGGGTTAGTGAGCTGAGAGGTTTGCCAAACTGCCTTTTATGCATCTAACTAACTGTTTGCACATAACGTGGAGAACTACTCGAGTTATATGCATAATATAGTTATTATATTATTAAGTAATTTAATTTAAAAACGCCCGTACTTAATGAGTTCTTACCGTGCACAATTTATTATTGTAAGACATTAACAGGTACAAAACTGAGGGAGGAGACAGGTCTGATAGTTTGAAAGCTTTCACTTTAATTGTTTAGATATCTAGTGAGGTGTCTTCGTTGCCTCAAATCCTATTTCTGAAAATATGTGGCACCCTATCTTTGTGTCGTTTCCTATTGAGATGGTTAGTTTTAAGACCTAGATTTTTGCCTCTCAGTGGCACTGTGACATATAATTTGCTGATATAGGTGATCAGGTGAGCCTCGCATGCTTTATCACATTATAATTTAGAATTTTTTATTATGAGGTTCATTCCTTAAAGATAACAGTTAGGCTATTCAGTGCTATTCTGTAGAACTCTACATGTGATTCTACACAGATCTAAAATAAGATTTTATTCTATCAGAGCTTTTAATTGAATCGTCTGCCACAGGGATGTGACTTCCAGTGTCTTCTAAACATCTGTCTCATTATTGGCAAATATATTCTTCTTTATCCACTGTCATTGGCAAGTTGCCTGTCCAGTTCTCCATCTTTCTATAATGTGTACTGTGGAGATGACATAAGATATTATTTTTATTAGGTGGAGCTGGTGGAAGAAACTCGACAGCTGGACTCCGTGTACTTTAGAAAGCTCCAGGCTTTGCATCAAGAGAGTGTTTCCAAGAAGGATGAGGTAACACAAGTACCTATTAACAAAAACAAACTCTTTCTATCAGAGAGGGTTAACACTTTGAGTATCACCAATGAAAGACTGACTGCATGCCAGTTTGGAGAAGCGAGCTGTCTGATCTCTACTATTCATTTTTTGCGGAATGATTGAAAGTCACCATTATGTTAATTACAAATTTAGTTCTTCTGTCAGTTGCATCAATATCAGATCATTTTATCGTTGGAGTTGATGGGATTGTTTACATTAAGGTCTGTGGAATGTATTTTCAGCTCTTAATCTTGAGTAAATTCCTTGATTTCAAGTACTTTAAAGTTATGTATTGGTTTATTTGATTATGGAACCTGCACGAACTGATATGTTTAAAGCAAACATAAAAATAAAGCCGAAAAAGAACCGGAGCATTAACTCAATTTATTTTCTCAGCAATCACAAAGCTGTTCTATGGAGACAGAAGTTATCTAATGCAGGATTATGAGACTGAGCAAAACATGCAGACAAAAAATTAGTTATGCAACTGAAATAATTTCTTCCACCAGAGTGCCGCTGCTGACATTGGTCTGCCAACCTGCCTTGATGTTCTCAAAAAAGATCAACACTTGTGTCAAGTTCCCCAAGAACTGGCAGGTCCTAATCTGTGTGACCTGATCCACAACAAACTGAAGTTAGAACGGTTCCGGGTTTTTCTTGATAAGCATTCTGCTGGGTACGTTTTTTCATTATTTTATTCGTTTCTTTGTTCAGAAGAAATCTTTGCTGGGAATTTGGGTTATCTGAATGTTCCTGGATTTTAGCCATTTTTTAAGGTGTGTGTATATTTATGAAACACACATGCACGTTGTTCAGACAACTGAATCATGTTTTTGTAAAAAGTGACCTGTCATAAAATGATTGTCATACAGTTTAGCTTTCAATTTCTGCTTTGATTAATGGCAAACACCTGAGAACAGCAACTAGCCTGTAACGTGTAAGAGTTTATCCCTTTAGGGCAGTTTGAATTTAGTATATTTTAAAAATTAAAATGGATGTTACAAAAATGTACTAATAGAACACAGCCACGTTATTCTCACAGTGTGAGAGCAACCACGATTTTGTGTTTGCACTGAGCAGAATTAAGTACCGGCTCACAGCACATACAGTTTATGCAGCGTTTTTGAAAAACGGAGCCCTCTTGTTTAAAAATAAAAATTTAAATGGAAGTTCTAGTAAAAGTCAATGCAAATTTGTAGCTTTTTTTTCCTAGGCTCACACTAATCTCTACCCTGCTTTGGGAAAAGGCAGATGTTACTTGATAAGTCACTGCTAGCAAGTCCTTTAATTGTTACCTCTTTCCTTTAACTTGGGTTCCCCTGAGCTGATACTTTCCATACTGCTATTGCTTCTAGAGGAACACTACTGTGGTTTTAGATTTGATGTTGGGCAGCTTTTTCGAAGGTGTCCAGAGATGGACATCTAGCACAGGACCCTCTGGCCAAGCCTGAATGCTCACCACTTCTGCTTATCATCAGAAGCTCCCTTTGTAGTCAGGGGAGAGAAATACATGCTTCTGGGCACTCTTGTAAATTTGATGAGAACATCTGAAAAATGGTTTGGATGAATCATACCTAAAGACAGATACTTCTCTTCACTGACTACAAAAAAGCTGTAGTTAATGAGCTCAGGTGGGGATTGCTATGTTGCAAGTGCCTATGGTTAAGTGAGCTTAATGCCACTGCTAGTCTGAGTTAGTTGTCCAGACTTCCTCTCTAGCTGGGGACTGGTGGGAATAGCCAGAGACCAGGTCACCTGCTAAGTTCGGGTCCAGCATGGGTATGCTGAATAGTCTTGGGGACTACTCTGCTAACCATTGGTACATGATATTTGAAAAAGTCTCAGTAAAACAGCGTTTTAGTGCTGGGTGCAGACTGGTAACTCTGAAAGCCAGCTGGTATGCTTCCCTAAAGATGCCTAATGGTACTAAAAGCTGAATGGATCCTAGAACTAATGCAGTACAGAAAATTTCAGCAACAAACAAAAAATGTTTCATTTGCCATTTCATCAAAATGTATGGCTCTGTTTGCCCAATTACAAGATTCAGGAAGGATAGATTGCTGAGTACCTGCACACAAGTTCTGCTGGAAACTTAACCAAGTTCCATTAATTAATGTTTTGTTAAATATATAGGACGTATTCACACACAATTGCAGGACAACTGTTACTGTGGCTTAGTGGATTGCCATTTGTTAGTTTTGCCAGAATAGCTGACTATGCATGTTCCTGGCTTACTGCATGTAGAAGGTGGAGTATGCTAGTAAAAGCTACCATTGCAAGTGGTTTAAGATAACAAACTTTAAGGTTATATATTTTACTTTTTGAGTAAGATGGATACATTTGGTCAGTTAGCGTGGTTAGATGACGAGGGAGGTGACTGTCTAAATCACAGTAACTTGGATTGCTTGTAACTGGGTGAACATTCTCACATTTTGACAAACTGGCAAATTAAGCTTTTTTCCCTTTGAAAATTTCCAACCACTTCTGCTCAAGAGTTTCAGTCTCAACAGAACTTAGATCTGTAAGAGTTTCAAAAGACTTTTCAAAAGAGGACATCTGTTCTTAAATCAGTTAGATGCTTTTGAAAGTTTTACTCATAGATTAATGCTTCAAAAAAGCCTGTTATTAACAGAATGGAAAGATGAAACAGATTTATCTGAATTTACTGTTTCATATTTTATGCTGCCAATAGAGTAAATCTGCTCATTAAAATGGTCACAAAACTTCAAATGGTAAGATACTGTCAGAAAATAGTCACATAAATTAAACTGAAACTTATTCTGTTCTGTTCAACTATTCTGTCCTCCAGTTATAGAACAAAATCAATATATGTTCCATTAAAACAAACTCAGCTTGATAATATACACTCAAATTATTATGAGCAATGTACAGATCAAGAATTGCATATGGAGATTATTTATCATTTATGATGAATAATGAAATATGTAGTGGGATCAGTAATTTATGAAAAGGCAGACCACAAAAAGCCCTAAAAACAAAATACACCATAAATTGTTTTTGTCTGCTTGCCTGTGGACTGACTCACAAGCTCTACCACTTCACATGGGGTAGGGGAGGGAGATGATTTCAGGGACCAACATTCCCAGCTGTGATCCCTGCTCCTTTCCCTGAAGTCTTTTAGCAGAGGAGGCAGAGGAGGTGGGTGTCAACTCATCTCTTGGTGCCTCATAGCCTGTAATATCAGGCCCATCTGTTTCACTTTTCACTGATTCCGTGAGCTCTGCATTATGGCTCTGATTCACAGTCCCTGCTGGATTCAGCAGCAGTAAATGGAGGAGGTTATCCCTCCCTGGGGTACTCCAGGAGGGACCCTGAGTGAGATCCCTAAGATCTGTCCATTCAGCAAGTGCCATGGTCTTACCAGATGGTATCTCCTTATCTAGCAAAGAAGAACTGACATAAAATTTCAGCCCAGTCTGACCTGGTATTTAGGACTTGGACACTTTGGAGGCTTGTGATTAAACTTATAACTCCCTAGAATGTTGATGAAATTAATTCAATATTGAAAAAACACTGCTTAAATATGTTCATAGCATGGATCTCATGTGCTGGCTAGACATTGAACAGTTCAGAAGGATGCTCCACAAGGATAAAGAAAAAAGGGAAGAAAAATCTAAGGACATTAAAAACAAGTACCTCAACAAAAAGTACTTCTTTGGACCCAACAGCCCAGCTACCAGAGAACAACAAGAAGAGGTACGAGTGTATAAAATTATTCATAAAGAACAATTACACTAATAGCTGTGACTGAGATAAGAGTCCATAATCAGCTTTACCCCAACTCTTCCCCAAGCTCTCTCTTCAAATCTTACCTATATTTTTGGCTAAAAGTCTGGTTCTGTTCTGGGGGATCCTTCCTTCCTGTTTATGCTCTTTCTCTCAGAAAGATGATCTCTTAAATCTGGATCTGATGCTGCAGCCAGAGCGTGCACAGCTCGGCTCAGAAAAAGTGTAAAAAAGGGTTTTAAGGCAGAATAACCTGTTCCAGCTTTCTTTTCTAGTATGTTAGTAAAGTCACAGACAGTAAGTCTGAGCTGTGGTACTCCAATATGTCTTTATGCTTATGAAACTTACTCAGTCACGTTGGGGTATTATTTGCTTGAGTCTGTATTCTATTATAGGTAGGGACAAATATAATCTATTCTCTTTTATGAAAAGTACATCTGAGCCTTGGGTAAGCATGCATTAAATGCTTTGCTTACAGTTAAGCTCATGCTTTGCTAAATCAAGTATGCAGAGAGATAAAGGACTTTTGGTATACACAAAAATTTATGTCATGTATTTATTGTATTTGGATTGCTTAGCTAATGCGTTCAGGTGGAGGATGGGGACAAATCCTTCATGATCAGGTTTCTCCAGCGATTCTGCTAGAAATTCAGAAATACGTCCAGAAGAGATTAGAACAACAATGGTTGCCATTGTTCCTGGCAGATGAACAAGATGAAGCGGATGAAAAAGCAAAGGTAATTTTTTTTAACAACTGCAACATCTTCAGGCATTGTTTTTTGTTTGACTAATAATTTACTATTGGGATAAAATGGTTCAGAGGAAAAGCAGCCTATAAGTCGCATTGAGTTGAGATTGAAAGAGAAGCTCTAGTATGTACAGGTTGAAGCATTTAGCTTGATGACTATGAAGGCAGTTTCTCTGAAGGCTCAGTATGGCTGACAGTATTATTGTTAGATGCTAAATCTGAAGAAGCTGGTGTTCGCTCTGCTGCCACCTAGGCTGTTGGGGCAGAAAACTAACCTTTGCTGTAGTCTTGCACCCTCCAGATGCCACTCTGCCCCTAGCCATACATAGAAGAAATGCTGCTTTGTGTATGGGATTTGCCTAAGGGATCAAAAACACAAGCAAATGAGCAGACTTCCTACACTGTATTATCTCTCTATTGCACTGCCCATGTTCTCGCATCCAGAGCTGCAGAGCCCATAGGAATGACTCTAGGTCCCATGAAATTCTGCTGACTAGGGAGATTAGCTGCTGTTTCCAATCAGTTACTTTCAAAAGTTCTCAGAAAACTGGGAATGAGAAGCCTTTCACTCCTGCTGGCTCATTAGAGCCAAAAGACTGGGCGATAGGCAGGGTTTACATCTGACTTTTTATGAGAGTGCCTCTGTGGCTGGGATCTCTGTGGGGAAATCATCCTGCTGGTGACAGTTGCAAAAAGACTTGTTTCTTGTACTCCCACAAGAGCTCCAAATGCAAATGTGACTGCAGAGGGAAACTTGACAGTTCCATCAAACAGACAGGTAGGCATGCTGCATTGACTCATAAAACTTGTTTTCTATGATCACTTCAACACCAAGAGGATTCAAATAGCTGTCAGAATTGCGTATGACCTGGATCTTTCCTCTTGATTCAGACCACTAAGCAATCTGAGAAGTATAATTTCCAAGTAAGCCAAACTGCAGTTTTAATACCCATTGCATTAAAGAAAAATTTCTCAAGCCTCTGCATTTTTTAGCTGAACTCTGCCATCCAGGCCTCCCTCCCTTACGAAGCCTGCCACAACACCATGCAACCAGGTAAAGCTGCTTCCAGTTTTAGCTCAAGCCTCCTCTTGCACCTGCTGCCCTGCATCTGCACAATGAGTAGCCCGTGCAGTTTGGAAAAATGCTGCATTAAAGTCTAATAAGCAGTTTACAGGAAATACATAATTTTAATGAGATTTTAGTCTTTTCCTAACTCCATTTAAGTCTCACTGCTTTTTTCTCTTTCTTACTGCAAATTCAGAGGATGAAAAGGTCCTTTGAAGAACATATTTTAGAAGAAATGAAACCAGATGACATTCTCCTCTTGGCTTCATATTTCACAGTGACCAAACACTCTGGGCATGCTATGTAGTCCTTATTCAGAAAATCTGCCCTTGATTTGAGGGATATTTTGGCTACAAAGAAGCTGCAGGATCAAGTCTGTATTTCTGATACAGCTGTCCAAAGGAACTAAAAGCATTTCATATAAAAAAACCATTATAGCCCCAAATCTGCTCCCAACCTAAGCAGTCTCTCTGAACAGTGCGGGTAAGACAAACCAGTGAAAGAGAGCACTTTAATTGCCATTACCTCTTGTTTTCTCCAACTCCCCAGTCTTAATGACCAGATGCTCATTTTATAGCTAAACAACAAGGGATGGCATTCAATGCGGGTCCACAACAAGTTTCGTGTATCAAGATCCAAATGAAGACGTATCAGCTGAGACTGCTACTGTGGCCTCAGTCATTAGAGGGCTGAACATCAAACTAGAAGAGTTAGAAAACACCATGATAATCTTTTGTTCAATCGTAGATAAGGGACGTAGTTGAAGATCTCTTAATCCAGAAGAAGGAGAAGACAACTAGGATGTGGAAGGCAAGTGAAGTTTGTTATGCTTCTTGTGTCTACAATTTCATTCTTTTCTGTTTGTACCTTGCATATCCTTCGCAATTCCCCTGTTGACAATGTGAGGCCCAGATGTAATGCTGTGAAAAGCAGGCATGATTTTACTGGCTACAATGGACTGATTACTTATATTACTGATGAACTTAGCTCCCCAGTGGATGACCATGATGAATTTCTCTCCTTTCCTGGTTGGAGAGGTCATGCCTGAAAAAAGCATATCTCTTGTCTTGGGCTATGGAGCGCTCTTAACCCCTCTCAAACTGGTATTGTACCTTTAATTCACATTTATCTGTATTTTGCATGCAGAGTACTTATTGGGACAAGCTGTTCATTCCAGCATCTGGTAGTTTATTTATTATTGCGAGTGGATTATGTGCAGACACAAAAGGGAATGTGAAGTATGCAGTGGAGTGGGCAGGTTTAATCATATCTTACAGTATCTGTTTCATTTACAATTGTATTTTAATCTTACAGTGCTGAGATAATATCAATTTTAAACATCTTAAACCTCTGTAATAATACATTTCATCAGATGTTTGCCAGTTTTTTCTCTTGAAGAGCAGTGAACTCTTTGTGATTGCCAACATACAAGTTGTGTACATTTATTCAGTTGAACTTTTATTGTCTGTTGAAATCAAACTGGAGACCCGGTCACCAATTATCCATGCAAACCATTAGCTCAAAAGGGATCCAGAGTGCATGTGGGTTCTGTTAACTGAATTTTCTCTTTGTCCGTTTGTTAGGAAGATGGTTATTTTCCATGTTCTCTTTTAGGGTTGTTGACCCATAAGATAAGCAATGTTTGTAGATTGGTATAGGGGTGGGAGCAGCGCTCTGTGCTTCTTTTTATGAATGTGCCCCAGAAATGCTTTTTCCCAAAAGTTGCCTAAATCCTGGTCACAGTGATCTTACTTCTTTGGACGAAACATATTTGACCATTTGGAGGAGGGCTGGGAAGATGCCATTTTATTGTCTAACTTGATCTTTATTTTAATGCTAAGGACCTTTTGGACAACCATCTCACTCTCTCCAGCAAGAGCAGGCTCTCCTCACTGTCAGGCTCTGCAGCAGAAGACTACATGTAACCCGTGCTTTTAAGAGAAGCTGTAGAATAGTTTTCAACTTAGAATCAGATTAGATTGCCAGGACCGTCCAAAAAAACTAAAAACGGTCCTGTCCCATGCTAACCGTTGAACAATGCTCCATCCCTGCCGGAGTTGGAGAGTTTTATATTGATGTTACGAGATAGTTTTCATTCATCCATCTGATAGTAAAGAAGGATAGTTTGGCTGTGCCTCTCTGCCAGTACGAGAACTGTTTCTTCAGGAAGGCAAACCCTTCTGACCTGCGCTGCAAAAAGCTGTCCCTGTATGAGCCATCTCCCTCTCCCACCCTTTCCTGGCTGCCTACTGCTCCGTGCTTTGCAGCACTAAAATGTCTTGATGACTTTAAATTCTATTTTACTATTGGTAGCTCTCCTCCACAGAGAGGAGACTCTCCAGCTTCTCTTGGTGATCATGGCAACGCATTTCAAAGCTCATTTTCTTAGCGCGATCCCTGTCAGAAGCATTTTACAGCTTTTAGCTATGTGGTTTGTCTGTTCCTTTTTCTTTGTTGTTTGTTTGCACAATACTCAAACTGTTCGCTAGAAAAGTAGCCTGTTGCCATAATCAATAACAATAGCTGTTTCCATACTTTATAGTATGTAGTCATATGGTCTAAATCATTGTCAGTCATTTCCTCTCCCATCACGTCTTCCAAAAAATATTGCCCAAACCAAACTGGAAAAAAAAAAAAAGAAAAGAAGGAAAGAAAGAAATGAAACCTTGCCAAATTCTATTGTATCCATGTCATAAACTCATAAACTACTGAAAGTTAGGGTCAGTGCAAAGATAAGAATCACACAGTTTACACTAACTAATGCCTTTGTTATTGCTTTTTGAAACAAAGTTTATTTGGTGCATTTATTTCTTCTTTTGACAGCATGTGGACAATAAGTGGGTTTCTTCATCTAGGGAAATAATTGCTTTCCGCAAAGCACTCTTGAATCCAGTAACAGCAAATCAGTTTCGACGCTTTGTGTCACTGAAAGGAGACCTACTGGAGAATGGAGTGCTCTTTTGGCAGGAGGTACAGAAGTATAAGGTATGATGGTAAAATGGAAGGAAAGGAATATCATTCGATTTGTAAGCAAATGTATCCATTCTCCATCAGGAGAATTTAAACTAGAATATCTGTAAGCATTTTTTGTTCATTGTAAAACCTTCACTGTTTAACTGTTCTTTCTTCCATGAAAATCCTCACTTCTTCAGGGTAACTATTTCAAATGACTTGAACGCGTTACCCCTGTATTTTTTCATGCTTAGCTTCTAACTATAACATTCTTCCGAGTCTCTAAAGGGACACTATTAACTAGTTAATGTCCAGATTTTGCTATACATCTGTTCAGCAGTTCAAAATACAACAAACACATTAAAATGCTCTTTATAGTTCTAGACTGTTAAATGGAAGGATTATTGCTGGACTTGGTAATCCCACTATAATCAGAGAGAACTTTTAAACGCAATCAAATGTACAGGGGAAAGATGGTAGCTACCCATAAAGCACATAAATGCAGCGACGAGCTCCCTTATTCAGTGCAATCATGTCTGGCTGCAGCAGAAGATGTGAAACACAATGGGCTGGGAGACCCAGGAGCGAATGTCAGCAGCGATTGCCTCTCCCCCAGATACTTGCCCCTGGGTGATATTGCTACAATAGGAGGTGCCGCACCACGGCAACCTTAGGAGCATGCTTTTAAATCCCACTGCTGCCCCTGGAATTACCCTAGGCTGGATGGAGGGGCTCATTCCTTTGGCGGCCTGTGGACTGCTGCTGATCCAAAAATGTTATGGGGGGAGGAGGGGTAAGCAGAGCCTCTCCTGGGCTCCTGAACACAGCCCATGTGCGCAAGGCAGACACGTGGTTAGGGAGAACGGTCGGAGACCAGTTGGTGCTGCAACAGGACTTGGAGATCCCGCTGCGGGCCTTTGGGTGTGTTGCAGTTTAGCTTTAGGCTAAAGGGGTCTATGTTAGAAGCTGGACCCTCCCTGCTTCCAGAGGGTGAGCCTTCCTCAAGTGGTTTCTAACTCAAAAGGGAAGACTCACAGCGTGCAATGCTCTCTGCAGGTGCTGTTGTCTCTATCTTCAGTACAGAAGGAGTTAGACTAGAAACCTCACATCAGGCACCTGAAGTTACAGGACATCAGTCCTTCTCCAAATATTTGATGTTGTTCGAGATTTGTGACTCTTCATTGCTACATCATGGGAAAAATGGAAACTGCAAATCCACGTGGAGTGTAGTTCAGACTTTTCTTTGTGGAGCTGCTCTCCGAAGAAAGCTTTCATTGTTTTATGCCCCACCCCCTCTCCTCCATTTGCATTGATTTTATTTGTCTTCTTATCGAGAAAAAGTACAATCTGACCATAATTCTACAATGCACGCGATCCATCATGGCTGGCAGCTGATACTCTTTGTAGAAGCAAAGGGCTGGAGTGGCCACAGCATTGTGGGTCAGGCTGAACTGGAGGAATATTGCCAAAGCTGTGGGCAGCACTTTGCATCATGCATGCTTGTATTTTCTGAGCCCTATCATGCCATCAGTTTAGGCAGAACTCCCTTTGGAAGTCAATGTCTGTATTGCTCTTCCAAAGCCATTGGGCTGGTGGCACATTTTGGGACAAATAAAAAATAAATTTTGTTTTCCTAAAACAAATATGAGGAAATATAACTCTGTGGATCATTTCCATGTGTTTCTCTGTGTTCACGTCTCATCCTTCTTCATAGCTAGTGGCTTGTTTGTCTTCCCTCCTTCTCCAACTCGCTGCCTTTTCTTGTGTGCTAGATGAGCAAAGGAAGCTATAACATATTCTTAGGATATATTGAATATGTTTTTGTATTGCTTACTTTCTTCATTGTAGCTGTTATCATTCTCTTTTCCCTTTACAAAACTAAAAAGTATTCATAATAAAACAAAACAGCTCCTTCACATACCACATTTCTAGTTAAAAGCCCTGTTTTTAATTTCTTTCCAGAGTAAATATCCAACCTCCTCTACCAAAACTAAATGCGTATTCTGCATTTAGAGAGCTCTTTTCCTGAAATTTTTCTAGAGTGTTCATTGCATCTCTAATAGATATATGCGATAATCTCCTCGTGTTAGAGAAATTTCTTGATGCTTATGGATAGATGGAAAGCATGTATTTGGAAGGGCTTGAAAGAAGTCCTTTGAATGATATTTCTCTCCTGTCAAAGTCCATTGGTAGCATCGTTACAGTGTGAAAACACAGTAATCCTAGGTTCTACAAGAACAACAGGATCACGTTAAAAAGGATAGGAAATCCCCAGTGTTCCTTTGAGATGTCACCCTTCTAAGTTCAGATTTGTTTTCAATTCCATCTACCCCGCACAAAATTATTTCAAACACTGAAGTTTTGGGAAACTAGAAGATCTCAGTGAATGGAAGACTCTGCTGGTAGCTGAAATTATCCCCCTTGTGCCACCATTCATGCTTATAATAACTTGTACCACCCTAAGTAATTCTCCTCTGTTCCTGGAGCCTGCAGAGCGTCTTTGTCATTTTTAGTTACTGTTGCTATGCATACAGTCATAGCAGACTCGTGAAAATTAGCGCATTTCACATCTCTAGGTGTGTTTCTCTTTTCAGAAATGCCTCCTATTTGCCAGTAATGTGCTTAGATTGAATAGGGGACATGAACTATGCTGTTCCATCAGAATGTGCAGGCAGAGCTTAAAGATTGCTTTATATCTGTATTGGCAAACAAGAAGTCCCACTAATGTCTTTCCTGTTGCTGTAACCATCCACGTCTGCTGTAAGAATACAGTCATGCTGTACTGAAGGAATCTGTTTTATAAATTTTGTATGGCTATTATTCTTTGATCACTCACCCCCTGTAAAGAATCTTCTCTCTCTCTACACTGACTGAAATTGCTGTTTTTCACCTTCTAGGACCTGTGCCACTCTCATTGTGATAACGCCACAATCCAAAATAAGATCACAGCTATTATCAACTGCTTTATTAATTCCACTGTACCACCAGCTCTGCAAATTGACATCCCAGTTGAACAAGCAGAGAAGATTTTGGAGCACAGGAAGGAACTAGGACCTTACATTTTTAGAGAGGCACAGGTAAAAAGGTGCAAGAATCTCTGTAACAGATTTGGCTAGAGTTCGTATGCCTGATTTTAGGAACAGTCTTTGTTGCTCACGTGAAAATTTTGACTCCCTACATAAGCCTGGGCACAAAGTAAAATGTTGTAGTCAACCATTTCAATAAAGATCATATGGTGGAGGTGGCAGCGAAACTTCAGATATTAACTGCTCAATAGACTGGACAATCTCGGTCAGCTAGCTGATCCTAGAAAGGTATTATCCAGCCCTGTTTCAGGAATTCTGGCAGTAGATAATCTGTGTTCATTTTCTGAGCTGCTTGTTCTTTGCCACTTGGTTAACATTGGGGAAGTAATTTGTAGTTGGAGGATTCATTCATATAAATATAAAAAAAAGTATAGATGTCAGTAAGGGACAAAGACAGCTTAGCTTACTGAATGTCTTTCCCTTCGTTATTACATCGGGCTTATGTTAAATGGCTGTAGACAGTTTTCTCTCCCCGATCTTTGTAATAAGCAGCCTTAATGGTGATTTGTGAACCTTCACTACAGACTCATTTTTTTCTTATTCCTGATTACTATCTTCTATGACTTTTCTTCTAAAACCTGCAAAGCTGATTCCTCTTCTTTTCCTACAAAATTGCCATCAACACTTTTAAAAATCAAATGTGAGTCGACAGAATATTTGGATCTCAAGAGCTGAATGGTTTGTCACAGAGAAGAATTCATATAGATCCTGCGACAAACAAGAAGGCTCATTTAAGAGTTCAGCCTGTGTAAAACACAGTGAATTTCAGCAATGCAGCACAAAACCAAAGGAAGAACTTGGCAAAAAAGTTGCGACTGAAATATAATAGTGACTCAAATGTCACTTTCAAGGATGTTGAGCCAGAATCAGTGAGGTGCTGAGCACGCTTGACTCCCTTTTAAACCAAGTTTCTCAATGAGAGTGGAACTTCTAAATAACTTGACAAATGTGGGCCTTAGTACGTGCAGCAATAGAATGCACTGAGCCCCTCTGTTTGCTTTTTTTAAATTGTTTTTCTTATTCTAGTTCAAAAAAGACCCTGTGAGAGATTATATCATTTAAAAATTATCCAAGATTTGCTCATAGATCTGTAATGTGGTTTAAGAGCCTTTCCAGAGGCAAAAAAGTATTTCCTTTCTCTTAAGAAGGAAAAAAAAAGCTCTCCCTAATGAACAGAATATTTGAAATATTTGAGCAGAACAGTGGTGCAAAAGCAATTCTGCTAGTGTATATTTTATCAAGAATACTTGTAAAAAATGATGGATGTTTTCATTAATGCAAACAATTGTTTAGGGAAATATAAAAAAAGAAAGTGCTTTTTAACTGTATTTTAGGAAGATTTTTCACCAGTAATAAACCCACTGATGAAAAGCATGTGCCGAGCAAAGCTGGGCTGAAACGTCAGGACACAGTACGTGGGAGGAACAGGGCTGTGTATTCGAAAAGAAATAGTTATTTCACTCTTATGGTAAACTACATTTTATTTGACAGTAAACTCTATTTTCCTAATGCAGTCAAGAGAAACTTTCTTTTCTTTCTGCTCAGATGACTATTTTTGCTCTTCTATTTAAATTTTGGCCAAATTTTTGTGAGTTCCGAAGCAATTTGGCCAGTGACAAAATTTTACCTGCCTTGAAGAGAAAAAAAGAAAAACAGATGTATAAGAAGAAAGGCAAAATATCAGAGGTAAGGCTTACAGAGGTTAAGGTAAGAGCTGACAGACTGCGTACATGCTCTTTCATGAGGAAACCTATAGGAATTCAAATATCCTTTTCTCAGTCTGATCCAAAGCTACTGAAATCTTTTTGTTAGAATGCAAGCTTTACATCTGGTCCACTTCTAGGACAATTAGTTCCCAATCCTGCCAATGCATATACATATGTTTAACTTGAAGCAGATGAGTCAATGGAATACTCCTTTCATTAAGCAGAGAGGAAAATGTATTTTAGCCATCTTTTGTGCAGAGAGAAAAAGTGGAAAAGAGGGCTGAATTTAAAAAAAATCTATATATGCTACATGTATACAATGGATAAATGTAGACTCGCCTGAACTTTCAGTGTATACTGTCCTTTTTCAGGATTTACAGTCCTCAGGGGCTGCTATTAAAAAAAAAAAAAAAACAAAAAACAGAGATTTCATTATCTCTTTCAAAAGAGCCCTTGAAAAGTCTGCACATTTTAAAATACTTATGTGCTAATTACTCTTTATATTCTTTGTCTTTTCTTGAATATTTCTCAGCTTTAACAGTGAAATTGTTAGAGTTCTCACAATGAGTTTCCAGACAGTTTCAGTGCATTAACAGAACTGTGACCTCTAGAGCAGAATGCTTGCTTGTAAAATTGTTTTTCTTGGAATTTTATTATTCAAATATAATGGATTTTTTTTCCTATTGATTATGGGCTTTGCAAAAGTTTATTTTTTACAAAATGTAATTGTTTGGCCAGCTTTGAGGAGAGAACATTCCTTTCAGGGCTGAGAAATTATTGGATTTGCAAACTATCATAAGTAGCATTAAAAGACCTTTACATATTTTAAATACCATGTACACATGTGTCGAGATGTTACTGGTGATGAGAACCACATGAGTACCTGGACAGATAAAGACATATGCCCGTACAAACATGTACACTTTGTTATCCTCTTTTTAGACAAATGAAAATTGAAGATCAGTGAAGTGTTACTCAAGGCCACACAGCAATGTCAAGTGAAGTCTAAAATCTAAGAACTCATGCTTTCTCCAAAGCACGTTGCCTCCATACAGAAATGTCTGGCAAGGCCGTTGGCAATACTTATAGTGCAAGAATGCAATATTTCAAAGTAATGCACTTTTGTGTTTTCACAGACTTATTTTTTCCATCTGTTTGTTGCCTGTCTATAAGATTTCTGATTAGGATCAAGGAAGTAAAATCTTGGCCAGGAGGGCAAAAGCCTAGCTTTTATGGGGAACAAATGGGAAAGGTGAATTACCCTTCTTAACTGGAAAATAGGGTAAGAAATTTTAGAAAGTGACAGGCAGAGAATGCAGCTCAGTGAACAGTTTACACACTATTCTTTTCACAAAAAATTATCAGTAAACCAGTTACCTTTACAAACTCTCAAAAGAATAGGAGGGACAGATAAGTCTTTGAAATCCCTCTTCCTTTCTTTATTTAAAGTTTCCCATCGCCTCCTCTCTTCTGTCCCCTCAGTGACAGCAAAACTATTCAGACAAACTCATTCAGCCCAACCGAGGACAAAGTATCTATGGGAGGGCAGCGCACAAAACTCCTAAAGCCCCTTCCAAAGTCAGGTTTAGGACAGAAGTGTTTTCCATATCCTGCAACATCTTGTTGCTGCTCCTCTGCACCCACTAGGCTCATGCTGAAGGAGAGGAAGCCTCTGGCAAGGATTGGAAATGATATTATTTTTTCTTACATTTTTGTTTCTCAAATCAGTTACCATTTGTGCTTTGTGTCAAACTAAACAATTATAGTCCTAGCAGAGGAATTTTATGTTCTCTTCCCACAAACTTTTTGCTGAGGTGGCCTATCTAGCTGGGGTCTCCTCAGTTTCTGAAGTGACTAGATAAGTAGCTGGACCATGGTATAATGCAAAGGAAAACACAGGTAGACAAGGAGGTTGTCACCAGGCAATGGTGCATGACTTCTCTTGGTATTAGCTGACTATCTCAATATTTTGTGTGTGTGTGTGCCTACTTGGCACTCATCGGACAAATCCTGCTCCTTTATCTGACCTATTGAAGGTTTCCTGGCAGTGAGGGAAGCCCTGCAAGTGCTTCATAATACTGAAACCTCTTCTAAGCACAGCCTCTGGAAGGCACGAATGAGTAGGTATGGGGTGAAGCAAGCTGGAATATTCAATGTGATTGCTTCAGTACTGAGCTAAAATAGTTATTTTAAAGAAGTTGCTTTGGGGGATAACGATTCGCTTTCTCCCTTTTCACATATTTGCCCTTGGTGTGGTGCAGCTATCTGGCCTCATCTTTGGGCTGTGGATTTGCTTCTCAGTTAATTGCTAGACACACATGATACATTCTTTTAAAAATATCATTAGTCACCTTTTGCAAACTGCTTTGATGCCAGAATTTATAGTTAGTTGCATACAAAATTGCACTTTGCCTCCAAAGTTAATTTGGAAATTTTAGCTTTCAAGTGTACAAAGTAGTATTAACTTAACTGCAAATCTGCACTTATTCTTTCCATGCACTTACCAGAGAAAGGCTAAAGCCATATGCATTAGTTTTACTTTTCCATCTTTCCTCCATCACTTTTTAAGCTTCTTAGTAGTAACTTTATTCGTTAGTAAGTGGTGTAACATCAAGAGATATGACATTGCCATAACCTTGCCTAGTTTATTATGAGAAGATGCTATTAAAAGACTTATTTAAATCTCCATTCTCATTTTAAAAAATAGCAAATATAAACTGTATTATATTAGTATATACAGTGTTCCTGTATATGCTTCAGCCTCCCTGAGTTGAGTGTCTCATCGAAGTTAATAAGCCTCCTTCTGGAAAGAAGATAAATACCATGCTGCCTGGGCAGGTCTGTGCCCAAAAGTCTCCATTGTAGATGATGAGTCCATAAGACAGTGGGGAGGATGATGAAGGAAAAGGCTTGCTGGAAGCGAGGAAGTAGGATATTCTCGTCCTTTTCTAGATCTTTCAGGGGCTTCCTGAGTGACTTTGGGAAACCATTTGACCTCTCCTTTTTTGTCTCATTTGCAATATGGGGCAGGTGAGTTATGTTACTTGCCTCATGAGGATGTTGTGCACATTATTCATCAATGTTCATAAAGAGTTTTGGGATCATCAGGCAGAATATGCAAAAGCGAAGCCTTAAGAAAACCACTAAAACAACATGAAAATGGCAAATAGTTAATTTCTCAAGCATTTACCAAGGATTGCGATGCCTTGCCCACCACTGTAAAGGTTTAAATGAGATTGCCTGAGTTTCTAACATATACACTGTAGTTCATCCACAGCTACTGGACTTGGTGCTGGAATTAACCATGTGAAATTCGATGTTCTACATTTATACAGGAGGCCACATTTAAGCATTTACAATGACCTCTCTGTCCTTACAATACGTTCTGTTGCAGGTTCACCCTCTCCCTTAGCTACAACTCACTCCTTTGGAGCAGGTTTGAAATCTTAAATGAAGATAGCTGGCAGGAGCCCAGAGGTCAAGAAACTTGATAAGGACAAAGAAATGCTTTAAAAAAGCAGTATCTTCATACATTTGTTACTATGCCCGAAGCGATGAACTATGAAACTGGGCTCTGTCCAAAGTATGTCCCTAGTATAAAATGATACTGCCTGTGACACTCGCATTTCAAAAGACAATTTTGTTTCCTCAGGCTTTACTTTTTACTTTAGCTCAGCAGTTATTGTTTACATCTAATTATGAGTTCTCACTGTTATTGACAGCGTAAAGGAGAGGGGAAGAAAGCTCTCAGTCTGTCAAGCAGTGTTTTCGGAGATGAATTTGGTGTGGAGAGAAGACGAACATCATCTCCATATGGATATGTGCAGCAGGTGATTAAAAAACATATTGCTACAGATACCATAATTCAAGAGAGATAAGATGCTTTGGGGAGAATGGGAAGGTGGGGGTTTGGCTTAGAATACTACTGCTACATGATTCTTCAATAACTGTTCATTCTTCTACAATTAACTTTGCTGTTTAAAAGTTTACCTACCTTATCATATCTCAATTTTTTTTTTTGGAAGATTTTGGTTCTAGGAAGTATTAATATCTAATAACATCAAGCCCTTTAATTTAAGTGTGGAGGTTTAATTTAAAGATAAGTTGCAGGAAAAGAAGCTCAATCTGGAATAAAAAATTCTGTATGACTGGGGAAATTCTTGAAAAAATTTGGTTTAGGTTTGAGTCCTGCTGTGCTTATAGGTTAAAACCTGAACCTGAGCTTATTTAGTAAATCTAGGTATTTGGATATAAAATCAGATAGAGAGTAACTTAGTTGTCTAGTGCTTCTTCCATACCTAGTGCTTTCTCTCCTGACATGTCAAATATGTAGTGAAGGGTAATAGTCATTTTATTAGAGAAACAGGAAGAACAGACTTGCTGCCTCAGGAACTTCAAATGATGGTTCAGAGCTGAACAGATACTGCTGTGATACAATAGCGAATCTGCTCAGTCACATAACCACAGCTGTACCATGTGATGCAGGAGTAAATCCCATTCTGCGGAGTGCTTCAATTCCATAGAGCTCCTCTGTGGCATTGCATTAGTGATGGCAGAATATAGACATAGGCAGTCTGAAATTCGCTCAGAATCTGAAGCTAAAGTGCTAACTTTATATTTAAGCTCATAGTCTTATCCCTTAAATGGACCTTTGTAACTTTGCTTATATTTATATCAAGAAAAGTGGGAGCTGGGTGATCCCAGGCAAGTATATCAATACTATATGCCTATGCCTTCAAGAACAGGCCAGATAGCTGCACAAAGAACAATAATCTCTTCTGGACTAGTTTCTTCTCCCAGCCCCTAGCTTGCTGCTCTAGGAAGATGCTACAAACTCTTCTTGTTGAATCACAAAATGAAAAATTGGCCTCAAACTTTTCATGTTGTAAGGAAAAAAAGGTCAAATAAATGCACACTTCCCTTAGTGATTTGGGTGACTGACATGCAATTTACATTGAACCTGAAACTGAGGATGTTGCAATGTAAAGAAAGAGCAACATTTGCTCCTTAGAAAAGGAGAGGGTGCCATCTCAAGATAATCCATCTCTAGATCTCTCTAGCATGCTGCTAGAGAGGTTAGGCAGAAAGAACTGTAATGTTAATGAGACTTTCTGGGATTTGAGATCAGGCACACCAAAGAAATGTGGCAGGAAGATAACACGAATTAAAGTCCTTGAAAGCACAAAAGGCTGAAATTTTGGAAGGGGAAAGGTCTGCTGTGTGTAGGTTTTGAAGAAGAAAGGAGAGAGAATGTGGCTTAGAATTAGGGATGGATAATAAAAGAATATAAGCAGTAGATACACCAGCTTAAACTGCATCTAATGGTGTTTCAAGATCTGCTTATTTGCGACAGTATTGTCATGACAAAATCCCTGTTTTCAGTAACTGAGATTAATCAGTAACAGGGATATAACATAAGTTTTTTGTCACGCTACTGAAATGGACCATCAACTGCCAGCGACATGGTCTGGAGGCTGATTTTTTTAATGGTTCTTGCAGGTTTCCTGGTCCTATTCCAAGTACATAGAAGCCTTGGAGCAGGAGAGAATACTCCTTAAAATGCAAGAAGATCTGGAGAAAAATTCATCGTCACTCCTAACAGGTTATTAACCAAGTTCTGTAGTTTAGGAGGACAAGCTTATAGCTTAGGTGAAATTTTCTCAGTATATGGGCTTCAGCTGTTAGCTCTCCTTTGGAGTGGTGTATGTAAGCCATTGCCTGTCTTACCCTGTCAATAGGGAAGTTGCTTTCTGCACCAAATGATGAGTGACACGTTTTCTAAGAAAGGAAAAAGGAAAGTTGCAGGGCATGAGCATTGGCTATACTGTACATGCCCTATTACAGAGGGGAATATGTCCATTTTTTCATTCTACATCTGTTTGGGTCACCTGTATTTCACCTTCCTGGATTCTAGTACTTTAGCAACCAAGCAAGTTAAAGTTTCTTTCATTCGTTTGTCAGTATGCTTTCCTGAGATCTACCAGGAGTTGCCTCAAGCTTGCATCAGCTGTGAATATTCTCTTAGTGTCTTCCCCAAGGAATTTATGACCTATTTGTTCCTTAAATAGTGTATGTGATATTAAACTATTCAATTTCCCGTCATTTTATTTTTATTTCTATATGCAGGCTCCTCATCTATGTCCTTGCTGAAGCCAGGTATCTCTGAAAAGTCCATCCTTTCTCCAAGGAGTAGTGCAATTTTGGAAAAAAACTCGAATCTTCCCAGAGAAACAGAAAGTGAGTAACAGATTGCCAATAGTGTGCTTTTAAATTTGGATTCTTAAAAACTAATTTTCCTGATGTCAATGCTGATGCTCATTTTTAGTAAATTGCCCCACTCCAGATCACATTTAACTGAAGCTGTACAGCCTCATTATGAAAGCGAGATTATTTTTTACTCCAAACATGGCTGTCTTTTAGCCAGATGGAAATTTGTTGCAAAATGGAGGTCTCTGAAATGTGGTAATCTAGGCTTCCCAATTGAAATACTTTTAACTAGGAGAATGAGGTGACTGGAGGAAGCTCAGACCCCATGGAGTTACTGGCAAAGGCCTGACACAGAACGAGCAATAGATCATCTCTGCTGAAGCAGATTTAACATCAGAATGGGAGAAATGCGTGGGACAGCAGAGAGTTCTGTTAGAAGGAATAAATAGATTTTGCTTCAAAGCTTGAATTCCTAGATGAGAGCGTTCCCTGGAGGTTTTATTCTGTTTTGTTTTGATTTTAAGACTACATTGAAATTAGATGGACTTAAAAAAAATTAATAGAACTTGGATTATTGCTCTCCTTGCCTCTCCGCTCCTCCTTCACCTTCTATTTCAGTAGTTCAGCATTGCAATTTTAGTATCCTGCCCTCCCTACTGTTCCTAAACTTCCCAGTGCCTGAGTGGCAGCATTTTGTGTGTGGCCAGGAGGAGGAGAAAATTGCAGCAATCTTTGTTCTTTTGTTTCCTCATATTATCTTTCTGCCTTCTCATCACCTCCCTTAGGTGCTGGTAAAACTCACACAGTTGCCTTGGACTTTATACATTTCTGCAGATGTTGCTATATGTCATGCATTTATGCCTTTTTTGTATTGTTGCTCTTTTGCTCTATGACCCTGTGCTCCACTTGCAGCTACGTCAGCATGTGCAGTCCTTGAGCAAGGGCTTCCATCTTGCCCTGGAGCTGAGAAACCTCCCACATGGTGGCCCTTGCTCAAAGGGGCCCCCCAAGGTAGTTGCAGTCCTTGCTGCAGCCCAGCCCAGCAGTCTCTGGCCTGTTCCACAGTCTGAAACCTGAGAATAGGCTGTGGTACTGTCTAATGCCAGGAGAAGGTAGAGGTCTTGAGAGGTCTAAGAGCTGTGCGTTCTGCTCTCCCTCTAGTTGCAGTTACAGCCTGCTCTCAGACTCTGCTGGAAATCTGCCTGCCATACCCTTCCCTCACTATTAGCTCAAGTGTTCCCACTGCCTTTGAATAGGTTCCCCTTCTTGCATCACTGTCCCCTGATAGTTATCCTCCCTGCAGTCATCTCATCACTCTGTTGTTAATGCAAGATTTCTGCAAAAGATCACTGCTGCTCTTGAAGAGACTGCTCCTTTCCACTTTATTCCACAGAAAGCCATGTTCCTCAAATGTTTTCTAACGCTTTTTCATGCATTTGTAGGTGACCTGTTCTGACTGCTTCAACTGGCCACAGCACAGTCAATGACATTCTGTTACCTTTTGCAGGCAGATTAAAATCTCCCTGAGGACAGAGATGCAGAGAGACTCAATTAAAGTGGCCAAGAGATAAATAATGTGTTGCTGAGGTTTGTACTTACGTTTCCAGCGAAGATAACAACTTGGAATATTATTAAGAATGAGACATTGGTCAAGGCTAGAAAAGAAACATCTTTCAATGTGCTTAATATCAACATGACTGTGATACTGATTCTTGTGTTATTTATTTGTTTAATAGCACGCCTTGAGGCTCAAATCAGAGTTAGATTCCACTGAGGTATGCATGGTACAAACAATTAGGTAGGTAGTCCTGGTTCAAAAGGTCTGAAAATCAAACCCAGTTCTTTAGTGCCTGATCTAATAAATAAGTAAAACACAGTGCATTGAATTGCCAGCTCTGAAGCACTACGTCCTGGCACAGCATAGTCTCAGTTCTGCAATTCATGCAACTTCTATTAATCAAGGATAACTCATGAGGTTTCTGATCTATCATAAAATCAAACCCTGCTGTGGTTTGGTCTAAATCCAGTCTGATTCCTGATTAAAAGTACACCTTCTACCTCATTTCTGAGTTTTGATCCCCAAGTAAGGCTTAAAATATACCAGAAACAGATCTGATTAATAACTTTTGTAAGATGTCCTTCCTCCCAAGGCTATACTCACAGGAAGGCTGCAGGAGCTCAAAGCTCTTGGACAGGTCTTCTGCCTTCTTTCGTGCTTCTTTTTACAACTTTGAGAGTTGTAAAAAGATGGAGGAGAGGCAGAGAGGCCACACTTAAAGTATGAAGTGGGGGAATCAGAGAGAGGCAGAGTTGATGTTGGGACCAGGGCCAAAGGATTATTTGGGGAATTCGGGTGGGGCAGGGGCAGAATTAATTGCTAGGCAGGGGAGAGGATGATGACAGACCTCTCTGCATTTTTCAGACCACTTTAATCACCAGTCCCCAGCCACAGAGCTGCTGGCTCCATTCTTCTGTACATGTGTGCAACGCATGTAAGGGAAAGGCAAGTAAGCGCGTTCCAGTTTGCTGAGTTCCCTAGGGCTTATCTCAGTGCTAGGGATGGGATTGTCTTCCTCACCCCCTCCCGACCTCCTCAATAAGGAGGAGGAGCCATGCAGCCCTCTGAGAACTGTCAGAGGTCCAGGTCGAGGTCCTCCTTTCACTTGGAGCTCTTGGGCATCAACCTGCTAAGGACCATTTGAGAGTGCTTTCCTCTTCAGGGTGGAGTGACAGCTAAGGACAACTAATGGTCTTTTCTTCTTCACTCTTCAAGCCCAATGACCTAGAACTGTATGGGACTTCCATTGGCAGCTTTTTCAGTGCGGCCGGCAAGGAAGGAACACACTCACTTTTACAGATACAAGTCACATATCGTCACAGAAGGAGCAAGGGAGATCGTCGGTTCAGCTCCTGATTTCCTCACAGTTTAGACACAGTTTTGCTGTGTCTGAGTTATTTGTTAGTATGATATAACTGAAAATGAATTCACCATCGCTTGAGACAGATTTCTTGGGTAGAAGCCACAACAAGGATTTAAAATGTAAAATCCCTGTCCCTGCTTTTCATGTTTGGGTGATACCTATTTTCCCAAATTTCACAGATGCACTGAACTTTAATGCTCAGTACATCTGAGGAGGGTGGAATGTAGCATCCTGTAGAGACCAGAGCACATGTGGTATCATCTGCTCTACCACTCAGTAATGTGAAAAGCAAAGAAGAATCATAAAATGCCACCAATGCAGTGATGTATGTCAGTCTAAAAGCCATGTGAAAGGCTACTTTCTACTGCTGTGGTAAGTACAGTGCATGCAACCAAATTCTGTAGTACGGCAATCAGTTTCTGATTTATTGTATTCTTGCCTTCATGGCATTCTGATACAGTTAAATAACATGTAGATACTCATCTTACATCAGTAGCTTTTACTTGAGTCATACTTGGATTACTTATTAAATGAAAAATATTATCCAGATTATTTGTCACAGATGATTAAACTCCTTGTGAATGTATTCTAGCCTTAAAAAATGGTTAATGAAAATTTACCAGGCCCCCCCAAACTACTTTCCCACCAAGATACCATGATTAAAACTGTACTTGTCTATCAAATTTGAAAACGGTAGCAATAAAAAAACATTAAAAATACACCATGTACTTTGTGTACTTCAGTGAGTAAGTAGAATTTTGCACACCTGGTCTATCCACTCCAAGTTCCACAAATCAGCAATAATCCTCAATCTATTTTGCAGTTCTATCCCTATGTTAACTGAAATATATACATTATATATATGTGTGTGTGTACACATATATAATCATTTATAGGCCATTTCTTCAGTATGCAACTGCGAAGGATCATGTCTGTTAGTAACGCTAGAAAAATATGTGTCATATGGTTATGCCCATTTTATGTATTAGTTTTAAAGAAAAATAGAGGGATAGCAGAGGGAAAATATTAAGCGACATGGACTTTTTCATTTCTGGGTTACAGAACTCAATCTGATGCAGTGGCAGATACCACGCGACTGCTGTTTGGTGTTACATCTGAAATGAAACAGTGGTTTTAGTCTAGTCCACAGGGATCAAGTAAAAACTATTGCCAGTTCCAGCAGAAAGTCTGAGGACTGAACAGATATAGAGACTAAATATACACGATTGTTCTAATTCACTTTAGACAGCTTGCACTGCTGTTGCCTTTTATTTTGTTCTTCAGATATATTCTCTCTTGGGCTGCTGATCCACCACCTATGTGAGTTCAGCAGTTTTAAAGAACTAGATAAGTTGTGCTCAGTACCTTTACCATCTCTCCCTTTAGATAAATAAAACTTCGTTCCCTATTTAGCCACGTATACTTTGGGTGTTTTTGAAGACTACAGCATTACTGTAGAACAACAGTTGTGTGTGGAGCTTG